AGAAAGAAAATATTTTCCACTTCCCATCCTTTCCTTATAAGAAAAAGGGTGGGAAGGGAAAGAGTACTAAGTTAGGCCTCCGGGACGCACACTCATCAGACGAAACGCGGAATTGCTTCCACTTCACGTCTGTCTTCTGTGTGGTCGTGGTATTTCACCGGGCGAGCCGGGTCAATTCGTGCGAAGATGTTAAAGCGGGCTCTACCACTAAGTATAGATAATAATAAGATAAGAAATTAATGTTGTAAACTCAGCGTAGGTTTCCACTACCGAAACACATCTTAAAAAGTATTGCCCTAATACTCTTTGACCATAGTGATATGTTTTTGGATTTCGGCGCAGCGACTCTATCTTTTGGGTCTTTCAAACACTCTTGGGAAATTAGAAAAGCAAAAAGCATAAATACATCTCATAAATCTTGCTTTTTTACTAATAGTATTATAAATCCGAAGGTTTAGATGGATGGATGTTTGAAGGTATCTCTAGAACGGCTAAACGGGTCTAGATGAAATTCGGCATACATATAGGACATAGTCTGGAAGAACACATCGGTCACCAATTACGTTTTTTTTTTAATTCCACACGGGCGTAATCACTGGCGATAGCTTAAACACATAAATGCAAAACACTGTAAGCAATGTAAGGGCCTTAGGGAATTATGTAGAGTTTGGTTAAATAAACTCATCTGACCTTTCGAAGTCCTATATAACCTTGTTTTCATGTTTACTGTTTAAATCAAATTGTTCTGTTAATTAGGTCGGAATATTGAAGTCAAAATTAATTATTTTGTTTCAAAACAGAATTAAATTCAAAATTGTAAGCGGTGTTTCCCATTGGGCCGATCGGCCAAACGGTAAACATTCATTGTATAAAGTATTATAATATACTAGCTATCGCACGTTACTCCGTCCGCGCGGTATTAAAAAAACTTAATTAGTAGCCTATGGGTTCTTCCATACTATGTCATACAATTTTCAACGAGATCCATGCAGCCGTTCTAAGATATCTTCTAACATCCATCCATCCATCTAAACATTCGCATTTATAACATTATTAAGATATAAATTGTTATAGTTTAAAAATACCCGAAACCAACTAGCAAACAGATATATGAAAATAGAGGTGTACTAAAAATACAGCAAATTGTCTTCAATTTACCTTACAGCCTACCCCTCTCAATACGGGCGTGAGTTATTATATAAAACTTTATTAAAATAAACCACGAATACTGTGTATCTTGCAGTATCATCAGCTCACTATACATCCCCACTGAGGGTCTCGTAGCCTACTCAAGTTAGGGGTGACTAGGCCATAGTCAACGAAATTTTGCAGTATACACGGGTATATTCTTTTTAATATAAAAACTATGTATAAATAACATTACAAAGGAATATAAAGCTGGGCATTAAGCAAGTATTTAATGAATGGATAAGCCCTATCCATGGCAACGATTATCGATCACTTATATATGTACTTGAAATTACCAAAGGAAACCCTCTACATACAACTATTCTCTGTATATATGTATATTCAAGCGGAAAAGTATTTATAGTAACACGTTTTTCTATTCATTTGTGTATTATAGTATTTATATAAAAACATAGATGTTCTCTAATAAATACGTTCGCACCAGCAAAATAAAGATTCGTAATTTATCTAATAACCGTGGGTTTCTGAGACCAAAATATCTGTGTAAAATATATTGTAATCTCTGTTTTGTCAAGCTAATACTGGGATGAGGATATGTTTTATACAGATTTGTTACACAAGATTTACATTCGAGAATTCTTAGTAACGTCTCGTAAATATTTAAAAAGAAGAAGAATTTGCAGATAACCTTGGGGCGGCCGTTCTTAATGATTTATTGCGTAAACCTCCTTCCCTTTCTCAGTAAAGCGATTACGAACTGTTCCTTCCGGATTCAAATTCCATATCGGTATAATTGTGAGGGAGGTGGAGCTATTATTCAATTCGGGGCATATATTTGCAGTAAAAACCTGATATTAAGTGTGATAATTTTCAAGGGTACAGTTACAAAGTTAGGGTTTGGGGGTGTTTCTGGTTGATTCTATAAATTTAATCCATATTCATTCCATTCGGAAATGATCCGATTGACCGCTAGGATTCGGACGAACGGAACGCGAGTATGGACATGACTGTATAGATAGTTACATTACGTCCTGGACAAAAGGTTTACTACTTATTTTCATAAAGACAAAGGTTAGACTACGCGACATACATCAGGAATATATTTCCAAAAATCTAATTGAAATGAACGTAAAGAAGCTCGATATCGATAATTAATAACTTGCTTACATTATATTAAATGAGGCAACTATTGATGAAAAGGTCACAACCTCATCTCTCTCAAATCATCTCTTTAATTATGTTTGATACACAGAGCACTATTAATTTATCTATTTTTTTTTTTAAATTGGAATGATAATTCTTTAATGACTTTGTTTACAAATTAAAAAGGAGCACTGGGGTCACAATACTTGCGTGAACTTGTTTTTAATCAACGGAAGCGATCCAGCAAAAAAAACCGTACAGACTCGAGCACAATGGCCAACGGAATAACTCCTTTTCCTTAGGGTTGCCAGCTCTCTAAATTGCAAAGACATGTCCGTTTCTGTCCGACTATCCGTAAGTACGCGACATATGCCGGAGACGAAAATACTCTAACTGCAAACGGATGTTTTCTACGTTGTCTTGTAAATTACTGTACCCAAAACAAAAGCCCAATAAATCTAACATTTTAATATATATACTAAATAATTTCTAGTAAACATATCTTTTACTAAATCACCCATTTCACAGCAATCACCAAAGTCAACATTTTCAATTTCACCTAATAAAATTTTAACAGTGGTAGAGCCCGCTTTAACATCTTCGCACGAATCGGCCCGACTCGCCCGGTGAAATACCACGACCACACAGAAGACAGGCGTCAAGTGGAAGCAATTCCGCGTTTCGTCTGATGAGTGTGCATCCCGGAGGCCTAATTTAGTCCTCTTTCCCTTCCCATCCTTTCCTTATAAGGAAAGTATGGGAAGTGGATGTGGACTTTCCGGATGAGAGGATGCATGGAAAGGGAAGATATTTTATTTCTGTGCATCCTCTCCTCCGTCGATAAAAGGTAGGCAACGCATATGCAATTGCGTATATCTATGGGCAACAGTCACTTCGCTATTTCAGCGATTTCCGGTGGCCGCTCGCTCGTTTGCCACCTTTTGATATAAAAAAAAAGTTGGATTTTTTTGACTTTAAATTCAAATTTCAAGGGCAATTACCAAAATGTTTCAAGTGAGACATAAAATACTTGACCTATTAACACAGTGGGTACTTCAATATGGGGAAACTTTTTACTGACTAAATATCAACTTTTTTTAAGATGTTACAATATGTTTTGTACAGATTTTATGCAGTGGAAAATCACAATAAAGTCATGAGAAGGGCTTTGAAGTTTATAATATTGAAAAATAGGGTACTAGATGCAGCTAATCAATTGTTAAGTACAACTCTGCTATTTCATCGAAGGGGGTCATGAGGAACATAAAGAGGGGAGCAACAAACTATTGTTGATAGTAAATGTATTGGTAAAAATATCATTTTGATGACATATGTGTCTCTTCCTTGTAATAAATTATTTTTTTTTAATTTTATACATTACTTATTCTTAACACACTAATATGTAATATCCATAAGAAATAGAAATGTGTAAAGCTGGTTAAAAATAGAAAATGGTGGCCAAAGCAAAATTTTATAATAAAATGTTTATTCATTGCGATAATTAAAAAATATATATTTCACAATCTGTACTTTGCACAGGAAAATATTGTTTAATGAAACATGTGTTTTAACCCTTTGAATGCCGGTGAAGATTTAAACTAAAATGTATTTGAAATATTGTCTATTTTTTTTATATTAGTATTTAAACAAAAAATTAATCAAGAATCAATAAGTAGGTTGTAAATGTATAAAATGTAGGTTACCAAAGAAGCAGTTCAACAACATTACCTAAATTAGAAACTTGTTATTTATGAATATTTATAAAGCTTGGATGAAAACAATATTGACAACAACTTCTTTGGGAAAATTGACAAAAAGATGACAGAGATAAACATTTTTATACACTCCTATAGTAAGAATCCCTTGTCTAATGCATTTTATGTATTAAAAACCACAAAATTTTAAGTTAAATATGTCTATTCAGACCGTAAAACACTTGGCTATGGTTTTATTATTATATGTAAATAATCAAAAGCAACAAATTCTATTTGTTTGCCACTTCAATGAGTAAGATGTGTCTTCACCATCTTAAATAGAAATCAGTAATTTCTGCCTACAACTCTGGGTCTAGTTTGTAATGGAATAATGCATTGAATTATTTTGTTACTGTATTAATTGTTGCAATTTATTAATTTCTTAAAATGTTTACAATTTACCTCGCAATTGTAGACTGTGTACAATTTAAACAGCAATTTTATTTGATTGCAAGCTACAAATTAACATGCATCAAGATACGAGTGTTGTGTCTATGCTTACATTTTCTCCAAACACCTTAGTTATTGGTTAGTATGCAGAATACTAATTAGAATAGTAGCTAGTAGTATATAGTAATAGTAGTAAATTCTTGTTAGACTTTGTTTAAGGAAAATTTTACTGTTCAGATTCCTTCTTAATAATTTACCACCATTGGAAAAAGGCATTTTTATATTTTTTTACAATCCTAATCATGATTAAAAGAGAATTTTGTATGCAAAGTATAGGTTTAAATTATTTTATAGTGATAATTGAAAAGGTGATATATGCAATTATTCAATTTCTTATTGACTTACTTCTAAATTGTTGATTTTTTGCGAAATAAATGAGACAAACTTTGCGACTGATATTATTTACCTACAAATATATGTCTTTTTGATAGAAAACTTCAGAAAAAAAGTAAATGATGAGGCAATTATACAATAATTAAGAAAGATATGTTTGAATTATCTTACGGATTGTTGTCTCCGGGAAAAATCCTCACTATAGCCACTTTTATTACAAATCAAACAGGTAAATATCACAGATTGAGCACACACCGAAAATGGCTACAAACTTCGAAATCGTAAGGACCACTATCAACGCATACTGCTCTGCACTAAATGGAACGTGAGATAGGTGTTTACAGCATCAAGTACTTCTATGAATGCACTTTCCAACAGCTTTTACTATCACACGGCCCCTACTACAAGCAAGTAGTACAAACGGCATGAAAAATACTTGGTTACTGACGTACGTACTTTACGCACTGGGAGCGGTCGGAATGTAATCAGCAGCGCCGCGAACAATACTCTTGAAGGGTAAAGTAAACAGTTTAAGCACCACCAGTATCACTTAATCCAATCCATTTAAATCAAGTTCGACACTAATCACATAAAATCTAGACGACAACGAAGCGAATTCTACCGACCCTCCTCCCTTCAGCATTAAATAATCATAGACAATTTATAGCTTTTTAATCTCATGCAAGCAAAAGTAAAAGGTATACGATGGTTTGAGCCAACTGTGATTAATTCTAAAATAATTCTGAAATAATTCAGTATGACGCCATATAAGTAAAGTAATAAATTTGAGCTTCTCTTAAAATTGCATTTCAAAAATATTTGTTTTTATTACACTGGCAAAATACCCACATCACAAATTTAAGGAAAAATCTGTACTCTAATGTTAACTGTGGATGTTACTTTATTGATAGTAGAAAGATTAATAGCAGTTGTTCTTTTTATACTGGAAAATCAATTCTTTCTCATAATTCTCCGTAATTAGTGAACCATTTTGAATAAATTAAGATCAACCATAGACTATTGGCAGACTGTGAAACAAATAGATTTCTCAGAGTGCATATTCTATTTCAAGAATATTTGTGTTCGGATACACAAATAGCTTTTTCAAAATAAATTTTAAATAATTTTTTGGGGTCTATCTTAATAATGTTAAAATTACTCAAATACTGAACTAATTACGTTACCTTTGAAGTTCTGATTTCAATTAATTAAAAGTAAGGATTTCGATAGTATATTCGTTAAAAAACTTATTTATTTAAACTTGCATAAGAGATTACTTGATACTTTTGGTCATCTTTAACGTGTACTTTTGAGTAGCAAAATAAAAAAATGTAATCATTATTGCTCAAAAGTTATATTTAACTTCTAATTATTATATGTTAGTTAATATAGTTATTAATATGACACACGAAAATTTTAAAGTAAGCAAATCCGTTGATCATTTCTAATAATAGTGTTTTTTTTCTACAATATCTGCCACTTTTTTCCCGTTTATATTTTTAAACTAGAATCACTAAAATGTCCAGACCTGATTCGGACCATCATAAAAATTTTGTACTTTAAATATTTGTCATCTTTGTCATCAGAATGAGATCGTTATTTTTATTATCATAATTAGAACTAATGCTGATACGCGTAACCGAACGGATATCTTACAGTTCTCACACTTTTGTTGTTTTTGTGTAGAAAAGGAAATTTGTGAGAAGTATCCATCCCATGTGTATTGGTGTACATATATTATGTATGTTGTGTTGTGTGTGCGTGGTGATTTGTGTTATATGCTTATAGAAAGAAATTAATTATATGAGTGTATTTTAACGATGAAACTTACATAAATGTGAAGAAACACCGTGTTTTGTGTTATCAAGTGCTAGTGAATCCGTCAGGAGGCGGTAATCATGTACGTTTGCTTGCTATTTGTGGATTCTGGATCTCGTCTCGTCGATGTACCATAAACAAAAATGTCAGCGATCCCGATTTTTTGTTTCTTGTTGCATACCCATCGTTATACCTTAATTAGATCACACGAATGATATAAATTATTGTTAGACGCTTTCTCCGACGGTGTCGTCTCATCCAAACGGCGTGTCTTTGGCAATAAATCGGCCATAATAAGCGTGCGTTTGGTGTGCTTCGCGCCCGTCTACACCCGACCTATCTCATTGTTTATGTATGGAGAGTAAACCAAGATTTTTATGGTGTTTGTGACCTATTCTGGTATTAGTTGAATATCTGAGAACGATCAGGATCTGGCATCGGCCGGTCGGGCGCGGGTCCGCAGGGCGCCGCTAGCGTCTTCCGACCAAGGTTCTTTGAGATCTCTATTTATAATAATATCTCGATCGTTTGGTGCAATATAATGACATTCTTGTAATGAAGTGGCGCGCCGTGGTTCTGTGGGACATGTGCCAATAATTTTGCGTGTGACGAAATCCCGCGGCAGGCCGTGTTGTGTTGTATGTATACAACGACCTTACACTTCTGTTTACATGATCCTATCAATGGTAACCTTTTACTATTATTTTATGCTTATATCGTTTAATTAGCGAAAGTTATGCATGTAAGATTTTATCAAACAACTGTCAATACACAGTTTAATAATTATTACCATATTTACCAAAATACAGATGGTTGCTTAATAATAGTTGATAGTCCATATTATAGACAGGGTGTATAAAATGAGATTTCGATAAATAGCAATAGTTTTAAGTTCATGTCAAATGTTTAGGCGCATATTTTTATAAAAAAACAAAAAACTTAATTAAAAACACTATTGCAGTAGAGTGTGAAAATATCTTGTGTTATAATACATTTTAGCTATTTTAATATGGAGGGAGGAGATCTATTTACTTTCTGTTATATATCCTATTTCGAAAAACAACATTATCATTTTCTTTAAATAAAACAATATTTTAGATTGTCTATTAGTTTACTGTCCTTTTTATTGATTATGTAAAAATTATAGTTATGTTTATTCATATAAATTTTCTTTGGTAACTGTAAACAGTAAACTTTATTCCAATTGTTTCTTATTCGTCTGTTAGTTCTATCATAAGACCTGGCACTCTCATCTTATTTAACTACTGAAGCGCCACCGGAAAAGTGGCTGTCGAAATCTTTTGACTTCTTTTATTCTGTGGCTTGATGGATTTATTTATAATAAGCAAATTAAACCTTTTATTATATATTTTAACACACAGTACTTTCAATTTAAAATGATTAGGCCAATTTCATATGTGCAATAGGATTAAAAATTCTAGAAAATGTGGAATAAATCCCATATCATTTATACCAATCAAAACTATATATCATAGCTTTATTTTATATAATAAGTATATTCCATTATATTACAACATAGCTATCACATTTTTTTACCAAAAATTATGTAGATTTAATGGACGGACTGTTTATTTTAGACTTTTAATAATACAATTGGTGTAGTATGGACAAACAATATTGTTCAAAATTATATTTGTATTTATTCACTTATGTATTGACTTTTATGAACTCCAAAATAAATGTATTAAATAATTATAATTCAGGATTTTGCTTTGGGTAGCTGTTAAACTGCGGGATGTTTAGTTTATTCCTTATTATTATATTTGGTTAAAACATCATTGTATCAGAAAATTTACATTTAAAAATGTATGTAATTAAAAATGGTCTTGGGTTCGAATCCCGTCATGTACCAATGTGTTTTTCTATTTACATAAGTACATTCATTCAAAGTTTTTATAGTAAAGGAAAACATGCATGCATGTGATGCAATCTGCACATATTAAAGACTTAGGCCTAGTCTCCCTTGACTTAGGATAGACTCCGAGTCTTCAATGGGGATGTATAGTGCTGATGATATTTTCTTAATTTATTTTTTTTGTTACTGGTATATGTTTTTTAATAACACTGTATTTGATTCATTCTAAACATATATACATATAGATTTCATCAATGCCTAAATTATAGAAACTCAAAGCACCAGAATGTCTGTCTGGCTTTACCCATATTGATTGTAGTTGCATAATTTTATAAATTTCTAACATATATGAAGTCATTTATAAAGTTAAAACGAATTTAAGAAAATAAATTTTCCAATGGATTTAATTTTGTAATATGAAAAAAAAGAAACAAAATTATTGTGGTCACTGTTATTTTTATTTAATTAGTACATTGCTAGTATTTGATGTGTGTTAAGTATCTGACTATTGTTAAATATTTTTCCAGTCAAGTTGGCGAAGGCACGTAGGGGTATGATCAAGGAGAAGGAGAAGGGCGGGGGCGCCCGCATAAAGGACGAACCCAACGATCCAGCGGAACCTGGTATGTCATCCATAATAATTTAAATTTTACTAAACACTTGTCATGTTAATATTAAGTTGATGTCATTTCCATAATAATATCAACCCTAGTGAGTTAGTCCATCTATTGCCTCAGATTCATTCCTTCTTGGGGGTAAACATATAAGTTTACCCCCTTTGGAATATGTAACATTCTGTATATCAAATCATTGAACAATCAGAAATTAGTTTTTTTTTTTGTATTAACCCATTAGTGCATAACGTTCGATAAATCGGACGCCAATAAAATTGTTATTTTAGGAGTTATATATATTTTACTAACCATTTATTTTTTAAACAGTAGTGTAATATATATTTGAAGTGGTAATACTGTTGGTATGACATTCCGGGAAGCGATTTATCGGACGGGCTATAAAATTTAAACTTTCATATTGATTAAATATTTTAGACAATTTAATGGTCAAATACACTCGAAATGAAAATATATTACAGTGATCATAATGAAAAAGGCGTTACTAAACTTTATGCACTAATAGGTTAAATGACATCTCTTTGCCCCAAACAATAAAATATAAACAAAGTTCAACCCTACTTGTACATCAAAACAAAAATATCTATCTAATACAAATGTAACCGATAGGTGTCTTAATATGGAACATTTAAAAATTAAATTTTTTACAGTAGTAAAATATATATTTTTTTTATTATCTGTTAGTCGGAATGTGTGTGTGTTTATGTTTATGTTTATTAATAATAGATGTCGGCGCGATTACAATGCACATATACACAAATATACAAAGGATGTTCCAATTTTCACGGGGGGATACTCTATTACCTCTCGAGGTAATAGTTTGGGGGGAATAGATTTATACTGAAAAAACCTGGAATGTCATATCCAGAATAATATCAACTTGTACAAACATTCTAAGTAGAATATAGAAAATGCATTAAAATTAACAGGAATATTTTATATTGCATCAAAATGTCATAATCTTGGTACAATTTCTGTTATAATCTCTTATAATAAGGTAATAAAACGAAACTAGTCCATTGTTATTTCCCTTAGCGATATAAAATGGTCATACAAATGAATTTTACATGTTTTTATGTAAAAAATATTATAACACTTTTTATATTAGAATAAAAATATTAGCGATGTTAAAGTCTAGGAATGTTTTAATTATTAGTTATTTGCAATGGTCAACAATCAAGTGCACTTGTTTTTAAGGTCATTTTCAGTGGCGTTTATCTAGAATGACTATGCCCTTCTGAAGTTATTGTATGCATTAGTACGTACCACTGATAATAGATGGCGTTGCATTTAATTATTTAAAATATATCAGCAAAAAGATTTATTGACAAAAATTATCTATGTATATAAAAATCAATTGCTGTTCGTTAGTTTCGTTAAAGTCGAGAACGGTTGAACATATTTATCTTATCTTGGTCTTGAATGTTCGTGTAGGTCTAGGGAAGGTTTAAAAGGTGAGAAAAATTCGAATAATTGCCCGGGAACTAATTAAGTTTTTTTTATTCCACCCGGACGGAGTCCTGGGCAACAGCAAGTATTTTAATATAGTCATGAACATGTAATGATTTTTATTGCTTGATGTGCCCGTTAATAGTATGTCCTGCAAAGATTAGAACCTTATGGACTAGGTTTTTGTAGCATGGACAAAAAACTCGTTAAAAAAGAATAAGAAAGATGTGAGACACATACCACTCGAACCACACCAATTGAGACATGATGAAAATAGTTACATATTCAATGTAATCATATCATAAAAAACAAGCAGTCGCTCAATACTCAATGTGCCTATGTGTTTTTCCAGACTATATGCTAGATCTATGTCAAATTTCATCAAGATCCGTTGAATTGTTCCGGAGATACCTTCAAACAAACATCATCCATTCATCTAAACGTTTCTGCCTTTACATTTTGTTTATAAACTTTAAATTTTAAGATCAAAATTGTGTAACAGTAAAACTTGACAACCAATAAATCTTAACCGGTTAAAACTCCAACATTCCATTAAAATATCAAAAGCTGAAATCATTAGGCGATATAAAAGAAATTATAGTAATGCGTCGCTTCGGTGAAAGCAAATCATGTTAGCCGGCCATATAATCGATTAGTCCCACGTTCGATGCCGCGTTTATAACAATGCTCATTGATTGTAAAGGCTAATGGAGAGGCCGAGAGATCATCCGTAAAACACGCGCTCACGTACAATGCCGCCGACTTGTCTTGTACGTCCATTAAAATAAATGTGGCATACTGGAAGATATCGTAAAAATCATAGCGGCACGGAACGTGTTAATATTTACGTATTTTTTCCTTAAAGTAGAAAGTTTTAAATGTTGACTAATGATGTGCTACATAATTAAAAACAGCCAGTATTTAATTTGAATATAAATTTTTAAAATAATAATAGTATTGTTTGGCGTCAAAGATTGTTTGTTCCGTTTTACAGAAGGGTAATGTTTTTGCGGAGATATATGTAAACAAGTTTCATTCTTGCTTGTAGCGTCAAAAACTTAATTGATTTCGGAGAGCGTGTTCTCCGTTTTGTGTTCTTCGATATAGCGTATATGTCTTATTTCTTACTAATATTATAAATGCGAATGTTTCAATGCATTTTTTGTAAAAGGTATCTCCAGAAAGGGTGCATGGATCTCGCTGTAATTTGGCATAGATGTAGAACCTAGCATGGAAGAACGTATAGGTTACTAATTTAGTTCTTTTTTAATTTCGCGCGGATGTAGTCGCGGACGACAGCTAGTATAGTAACTTACTGTAAATCGGGTATATTGTATAGTTTTTGTTTGATATTATTAGTAGATTTTAGTATAAATAAACTTGAACGTATGTTTGTGGTTAAATTAGTTGTTATAGTTGGCGCATATTAATTTATTGTAATTCTAATTATGGAGACTAGAGCGGGTCGACATTATCTCTACAATTTATCAACGATTTACGTAATATGACAACAATAAAGTCGAGATAAAAGATAGCGTAACAACAACAAATTTGTTATAATCGTATACAAATTCTAAATCGGTTTTATTAAGCACTAGCTCTTTCCCGCGACATCGTCAGTGCGGAATAAAAAAAATGTTTGTTACTTTATTAAATGTCCCTTCAAAATCGGTCCAGAGGTTTCGGATATTACTCGGATTTGCGAACGAACAGATAGACAAACGAAAATTTTATAAATTGTTTTTTTTTTCTATAAGCATCATACGAAATTTTTGACACTTTTAATAATCTGTATTTAGGATTTGTAATTTTAGTTTGAACTGTAATAATTAACGCATTAAAGCTTATTTTTCCATTTAGATTTTATATCTATTCGTTTACGTAGTACTTTAGTTGTTATGTTGAGAAAAAAAAAACATAAATGTTTGGTCCCTTTTATTTATTTCATTCTAATTAAACGTAAAAACTGTATATAGTAAAAAAAAAAACTATAACTTTTTACAATAACGTAAATAGACAAGGATCGAGTTGAGAATAATAATTAAAATAAATTAAGATATAACTTGTTGACCTCAATCGACTTTGTCCGACTTATACAATAAAGACGCAACTTTTGTATTAGCAGATTATGAGGAAAATGAGAGATTGAATCGATGAATACAGTCACATATTAAAGGTAATATGAGAGATGTAACTTTTTTCGCCGCTACAGCATTTCGTTTATTGCATAAAACAGACCTTTTCGACTGATTTGTGCAATCTTGTAATTGGCGCGTTTTCGATCGATATACTCTTGACAGTCACTGTTTAGTGGAAAAAGGCACTTATTTTCGTACAAGAGTATTTAACTGCCACACTTAGAGACACTCAGGGATCCTCTAAGCATAGATTTAGTATGAAATGTAGACTAAGAGGCTGCTTTATTAACAAATTTCTCAATAAAATATGTCAGAAAAAACCCTCTTATCCGTCTATTAAATGCAACGCGTCTGTAATTGCCGATTTATATGTGCAGAGGCCGCTTCGCCATTCCGGCGAATTCATTTGGTCGGTTGCACGTTTGCCAACGTCAGTTTATTTAATCAGTACTGTTGTGTTTTAGGGCATGGTTCACGTCCGCCGAGTGCGTCGCTGCCGACGCCGGCGGCGTTGAAAAAGGAACCAGAGGAAGCCCACCGAGTCAAATTGGAGCCACACACGCAGCCCGAGGACGCTAACCCAGAGCTCGGCGTTGACGGCATCAAGACAGAGATCGACGGCCTTATGGATAGCGACGGTAACATAAACTATTTTATAATGGTGCGTCCACACTTGTAACAAGACGACGAACTATGCGAGGCAGTGCTATATGTCTAGTTTGTGTTCACACGGTCAGATGAAATGTTACAAGTGTGTATCCACCTTTAAAGTTATAAAATTGTACGTCAAACTTGTGTAAATCAACTTTGCAAATGACCATTTAGCCATAAATGATTTTTTAATAATATTTATCCATATTATAATACATATTTCTTTTTATTTTATGTTATATATAAATCCAAACAACATTTAATAAGAAAAGAAGTAATGGCCGCGTATACGTCACCTTTGTTTGTTTGCAATTTATGTCTTAATTTGGGAAGGTTTTTATATTAAAAAAAAAACAAATTTAGTTTTAATTTAAATATATAATTATATACTACTAGCTGTCGCCCGCGACTCCGTCCGCGCGGTATTAAAAATAGATGTTAGCCGATTCTCAGAGCTACTCAATATGCTCAACAAAATTTCATGAGAATCGGTCAAGCCGTTTCGGAGGAATATGGGAACGAAAATTGTGACCCGAGAACTTTATATATAAGATTTATTGGTATACATTTGTAACATTATGTATTCATTGTATACAAGAGAATAATAGTTGTGTCCGACATTGCTACGACATTGGTAATAATCGTTTAGGTAATTTTTGTACAGACTGTGCAACCGGAAATAATTGTTTTGTAATAGCACATTACAATGTCGGATGACGTTAACAACTGCATCAATATACGAAAAATAAAAAAAAATACGATATAGGTTTTTATGAGTAAAAATTAGGGTCTATCCACGTAGTGATCAACGAAGTACTTGGCAGCATATTTAAGGGTTAGTTATTAAAACATCATCTTTTAATAACACATTGACGACGATTATATCAATCACCGGTAGTCAAAGGGTTAAAACATGTGTTGAACTAAACATTGTCTCCTTAAATTTTTTGGAGCAATACAGTTAGAATTATAAATGTATAGAAATATAGATTTTTTTAGGTTTTTAAGAATAAATAAATTATTAAATGCAATGCAGTACTAATAGATTTTACTTTTTTAATTCTAAATGCCGTACTCAGAGTCATGTAAATGAAGTAATTGCTCCCTTAGTGATCAATAAACTTATCAATGCCGCAATACGATTCATGTGGTCACTGAGGGAGCCTTTAATGTAGTTTTAGTCTTTAATTAAAATGTTTGTTTATTGCGTATTACAGGTGATCCCACAAAATCACCATCTTGCGATATGGGTGGCCCAGGTTCATTGAAATCGGAACGTCTCTCGTCCGATTCAAACGATATATTGGACCCACAGACCGGCCTAAGAGGTTCAACTGGGAACCTGCAGGTAAAAAAAGTAATATACCTTTCAAATATTAGGCATGTTGTATGTAGATTTGTTGTTTGGAGTGGATTAACTGAAGTTTAAACTCTGGTTTATTGTATGGTGAAAATAACACGTGTAGTATGGTAATTATAATAATTGTAAAATATAAGTAATATAATAATATATGAGATATAATCTTAAATTAAATTATGTTGGGTAGTTATGTTGGTGTTCGCTTTTACAATAGTATTTTTAAAGAAATCTATGAAGGCATTTTCGTGAGCTGTATTTTTGCTAGATTTAAAAAGTAATGCATGTTAACAGCTTAGCTATTAAAAAAAAACTCTTGTTAAAATATTTATAAAAAAGGTTCTGTACGATGTTTATGAACATTGAGTTAGTATATTTTTTTAAAGTGCCCCCTCAATAAAAGAACGAACATATTTGACAAATTTGAGCAAGCTATTCATCAAATAAAATTGTTGGGATTATAAATATAACACCTATAAGTGTCAATTTTGACTATACTAGCAACAACTGGACTTTTATTAAGTCATTTTTGTCATCCCTTTCACTCTCTTTGAATAAAAGGGAGACAACACTATGTGCCAGTGCCACAGCAGTAGAATATTACAGTGTGTTTGTGTAGATTATTATAACTTTATAATATATGTGAACAGGATGGCAACCAGAACTGCCGCAACCCCAACAACGAGAACTTAGGCTCGTGCCGTCTGGGCGGTGGGCCTATGGGCGGCGTATCCATGGGACCTATGTCCAGCGAAGCACAGACCCTACCCGCCAACGTTATCAGCAAACAGGCCGGCAGTATGGAGGTAATAGTGGTCCCCTCGATAATAATTTAGTAAGAGAAATCTACTCTAAGGGTCTTGCTTAGTGATTACTTAATGATGCGCGTCAGTAATAGTATTAAAGGTATATTTCTTTCCGCAGCAAAGCCAAATCTTCGTGTTCTCAACTCTGCTTGCCAACAAGAGCGCGGAGGCGGTTATATCCGGCCAGCATCACTCCATCATTGCCTATCACTGCGCTCAGCCCAACACCAAGAAATATCTGGAGGTAATTCTATATTGAAATTCAAATATCTTGATGGCTCGGAACATCGCACGAGTCGCATTTGACCTTGAACCACCAAAAAGATTGAATTCAAATATTTATTATTATAGTACATAATCATCAAAGTCAATCATCTGATGGGAGTAAAGTACATAAAAGTGCAATAATCTTCAATCAACACAACTTGGAATGTATAAAGTTATAATGAAAATTCTTTCTTATATTACAGAAACACCCACTCAAAATAGGCCAGTTTAACAAACAAAGTCCTGCACAATGGTTAAACAACCTTGCAATGGCGAAGAACAGAGGTGGCTTACGAGGCGGCCCCAATATGATGGGAGGTCCCAACCAGATGGGCCACATGATGGGTGGACCCATGGGTCCCAATATGGGACCTATGGGTCACGGTGGCATGGGACACATGGGACCAAACATGATGGGCCCCAATCGCATGGTAGGACCCGGAAACCAAATGATGATGATGAAAGGTGGCCCAGGACAGATGGGACAAATGGGTCCTGGGATGGGTCCCATGGATGGGTTTCCAGGGGGCACCCCGTCCTGTGGTGTCATGGACGGCCTCGGTGCTGATGGTGAAATGCCATGGGACACCGTGAGTAAAACTCATTTTTTACTAAATTACATTAAAAACTTATGATTAATTGAGTCATTATTTCTTAAAAGGCATCTCTTTCATAAATTAGAAAAAACTTAAGTTATTCACGTATAGTTTATTTAAATAATATTTACTTTTCAGAAAAACTCCTCAGTAATGTCGAACGGCATGTCCAACGGACCGCCGCTGCCGATGCCGCCGTGCTCGGAGGCGGGCGACGCGCCGCCGCAGAACGACTCCGCCGACTCGCAGTGCCAGCCCGGACCTAAAGGTATCATACTCAACACTATAACTAGGCACAAATATAATAAGATAAATAAACCCACCAATGTTAAACCAGTTGATGTTTCATCCGCAGCGGGTGTAAAGATCCCCGACGAGAACCTGACGCCGCAGCAGCGCGCGCACCGCGAGGAGCAGCTAGCGACCATCCGCAAGATGCAGCAGATGCTGTTCCCCGAGAGCGGCGGCGGCGCTAACCCGGGGCCCGGCGACGGCTCGCAGCAGCCCAACGACATCAATCCGCCCAACTCCACCGCCAACATCAACATGCCCTACCCGCCCATGTCTCAAATGGGACCCAACGGACCCATGGTCTCCGGACCCAACGGGCCCATGGTATCCATGTCTAACAGCATGAACTCGGGACCCAGTTGTACTATGTCGGGACCTATGGGCCCAAACGGACCTATGGGCCCGGGGCCAATGGGACCCGGAGGTCCGATGGGTCCGAATGGTCCTATGGGGGGACCGATGGGAGGAATGGGTGGACCGGGCGGGATGGGTATGGGTGGACACGGCTCTATGGGACCTAACGGTATGATGGGGCCGAACGGGCCCATGATGACGGGTATGGGCCCCAACGGCCCCATGGGCCCTATGGGGCCTTGTGGAATGAAAGGAATTCGAGGTGCTTGTGGTGGACCCGACATGAAATCGGGAATGTGTACAGATATGCATATGGGTAGAGGTTGCGGAGGCCCCATGGGAGTAAGTATTGCATTTCTTACTAAAATTTATATCATATCTTAAAATATTAAAGAAGTATAAAATATGTATGTATTAAGTTTGCAATTTCTTTACACAATCAATATTTCCAGCGTATGCCAAACCCAATGGGCGGTATGGGAGGACCTAAACCCTGTATGATGGGTGGACCTCACATGGGACCACGGATGATGCCTGGACCTAACTTAAATGCGATGAATGGTATGAACATATCGATATACTTACCAACTAATACGTTTTATATTTTTTACATATATAACTATAATAATGTTTGTGTGCAGGGGGTATAATGATGGACGGCAACATGCTGGGCGGCATGGTGCACGACTGCGGGCCCGACCACCACATGCCCGTCAACGGGCCCATGTGCGACGAGTACGGACGCGGACGTAATGTACGTATACTTTGATATCAACGCCTCGATGACGTCATTATATAACAGTTTCAGATTTAGTCCTACTAGCGCCCTGGGCGATGTTTCTATGGCGCCCACTTTTTTGTACCCTGAAGGGAGCGGGGGGGGGGCAGACTGCAATTTATAGACCTGTGACGCCATTTTCTGTCCAGCGCCCTGGACAGTCACCCTATTGCGTCTTACCCGAAAATTATATTGTGTTCTAATGTTACATATAAAAAAAATGTCAACGGTCCCTGCTCCATTAGATATGATACAATTTTTTTATTTTTGGTGTATTTCAGATGGGTCCCGGCGACCCTGGTGGGCTGGGCCCGGGGCACAAGGGTGGGCTGCGGAGCCCTAAGAGCCCCTCCGCCGGTGCCGACATCGACTGGCAGAAATTACATCATCAGTTCTTCGACGACCCTAAATCTATGGATACGGAACTCAGTGAGTTATCTAGTTAGATCTGTGATAATCACGTCTGCTCTTATGTAATCACCTATCTGTAATTTAAACAAATATTGCTATAGGTACACAAGTGAAATCGCCATGTTCAGAAAGAGGAGGATGTTTACCGCCCCCACCTTACGGTGCGTCCCCACTACATCGGTCAGCTTCAGTACCCATTGGTAAGTAACACAATGTACACATTCATTTTGGTGAAGTTTCTATATCACAAAATGTAAATAACTAGCTGCCGCTCACGACTCCACCCGCGCGAAATTAAAAAAAGACTTAATTAGTAGCCCATATGTTTTTCTAGACTATCTTCTACGTCTATGCCAAATTAAAGCTAGATCTATATGCAGCCGTTCTGAAGATACCTTGTAACATACATCCATCAATAATACAAAAAAATGTGGCATTGATTAAAATGTATATATTTAGCAACAGCGTCACCATCACACGGGTCTGTACAAATGCCGATGTCGGCGGAGGCGTCGCGCGCCGGCTCCGGACTGAACAGCCCCGCGCACTGCAAGCCCGGACACAAGCAGGACGCACCAGGTACACACACACATACACACACACGTACACATACGAACGCGTACGCACTTACTTGCGTAGACGTACTTTAGGTAATAGGTGTAAAAAAATAAAAGTTAAATTGTACACTATCAAAATAAAAATAATGTAACTTCATTATGTGCATTTTTTTTCTTTATTTACGTAGTTCTGTTTAAAAATATACAGGGACATATATTGTAAAGTTGTAATTATAGCATGAAAATCGTACTAACTTGATAATTTAGGTATCAAAACATGATCAAGTTAACAAGAACATTCGATAGCCATAGATGTAAGGGTGCATGCAATCTACATGTGTTAGACATTTTCCCAACCACGAGTTTTTTTTTGGCACTTTATATCCGAAATTTTATTTTAAGAGTTTTTTTTTTGTTGTCTGTAGTTGTAATGCATATTTTTTGTTTTCCCCCCTTTCCCCCGCAAAACGCTTGACGCTTGAAATCCCAACGTGTGACGAAACTAAACCAACATAAATACGGGATACGATAACCATTATAAAATGGACCCTCGGATGTGAAACGTTTGGTACAACAAAGAGTTACTGGAGAAACTGGACGCGGGCGTGTTTGTGCGGTCGCTGCAATGTCTGGCGGAGAGACAGCAGAAGCACGCGCAGTGCAAGGAGCCCAGCCTGATGCCCGTGCCCTCCCCGCAACAAATATCCTATCTCAACCAGTTCGAAGGTAACACGACACATCCTGACAATGTTACATCAACCTATGTCATGTCGACAAGTTCACATTCTCCTATTTCTTCGAAAAAAAAATCCAAGCAAACCACAATATTCTTACGTGTCTGTCTCACACTCGGTTACCTTTAATAGAATAAATATGGCTATGAGTTGTTCCAAAAATACTATATTGTACGAAATTGCAGCTTAAGGTAGATCTAGTATGTTTATAGGTTGTCGGAATTCACAATTAATCGGTGGCATAATCCTTTTTTTCTAACGTTTATGTATATATGTGAATCTTAAGTTTCTTTTGTTATCGATTCCTGTATAATTTTGTACTTTAATTGTATTAGAAATTGTAAATAATGATGAAATAGGAAAGTGTGAACTTGACAATCAATTTCTTTAGGAAAATGTTTGAATAGCTTATTACGTATACGGAAAGCTTATTGTGTTGTGTTAATTTATGCTTTATGTTACATGTAATAGAATACATTTTGGCTTGTGTAGTTGCCAGTGCATTAAAATATAATTAAGCGTTTTTTCCACGTGTGTTTCTTTATATTTATTCTTTTTGGTGGTGGTTGGTGAAAATGTGCTAACATACTTTCATACTCTATGGCTAATTTGTAATACTTTATCGTGTCTTAGTGTATCGTACATAAGTGTTATGTATTATATTCTATATAAATACTTTTATTGTCAGGTCAAGAGTTAACGATACAAAAACAACCGAACACATCTCTCAAGGACAACGGTCCGCCATCAAACAACGGCGGGCAAACTCCACAGTCCAGTTCTAATCAGAAATCACCAGCAGGGTAAGTTTTCTATTCTATATTAAAAATGTCATCATCGTCAGCTAACTGTATGTCCCCACTAAGGGGCCTGGAGCCTACCCTAAGTCAGGGATGACTAGGTCATAGTCACGCCGGCCTATTGCGGGTTGACTTCACACATATCTTTGAATTTTTTATCAGATATGTGCAGCATCACAATGTTTACCTTCACCGTAAGAACATGGGATAAATGTACATATGTCAATTGAAAATCTAAAATCATATTATTATATAGTGGGATTCGAACCCGGGACCTGCAGATTGCCAGTCAAGTGCTTTAACCCCTGAGCCACCGACGTAGATAAAAAACATGATGATAAAAAAAATACACGATTATAAACTTATATAAAAATTATAAACATATAAATGAAATCATACGATATTTTTCCAGCATGATGCCGGGCACACCGGAGCCCCACTCGTCACTGTCGGAGCAACGCTCAGGCCGCTTCTCCTTGGAGCAGAGTCCCAGCTTCAACAACCCACAAACACCCACCTCCGCTGCAAACACTAAGTGCGGAGGTCAGTATCGTATGTGTTATTTCAATTATTACAATTAATTATTCCTTGTTGCCCATTTATGTAATCCTAAAGTATCATAATATCGACTATCTTATGTAAAGTAAACAAGGGCCTAAATCATTATTTGATTATTTGATGCATTTAGTTTAAATTAGGATCGAAATATCAATCGAAAAACATGATTTATTGTTTAAAAGCCTATCGAATCATTTTTATACTCTATTTCACACAAAGAATTTAAGAAAAAACGGATATATCCAAGGATCTAATATTGATTTAAGGTAAATCGTTACTATTGATTGTTTTTTAAATGAGGTTTTATAATCTGAATATAATGTTGTTCGTTTCAGACGAGAAATCACGACCGAGTCCATCATCGAACCGGTCAAGTCAGGACAACGCGTCAAAGACCCCGCAGCGAGAGTCCTCTGGTCTGAACCAGGGACCATACGCGCCCGCCTCCTCCGCCTCGTGTGTTGGTAACGCCAAGAGCAGCTGCAGCGTCACCACCGCACCCAGCGGCAACATGGATGACACCATGGCAGGCAGCAACGAGGTATTTGACTGAAGTTGGTGCTCTTAAGCAGGATTGAGAAAAGTTTGTTAAGGACATGTGAAGGTCACACTCGTACCGTGGTCGTAGCATTTTAAGTTGGTTTTCTCCTTACAGACGACATTATCAGGTGGTCCCAACAGCACGAGTCTACCGGGTCCGTTTCCCGGCCCGTGCAGCATGAACAGGCCCGACAATATACCCATCAATCCTAATCAAGGCCCGAACGGCCCCATGGGTACCTCTACGTCTTCCTTCGACCCGATATCGTCACTGGCCCAGATGTCGCAGCAGCTCACCAACACGGTGGGCGGCGGCGGGCCGGGCCCGACCGGACCCATGGGGCCTAACGGTAGCGGAATGGGACCCTTCGGTTCGGGCCCGCACCACATGCAGCACCATCACTCGATGCATCCACACGGACATCCACATATGATGATGAATGACTTAGGTGAGATTATATTATTTAGTTTTTACACGACATTTTTGTTCACATACTCCAATTACAATTGTAGAGTCAAAGTATAGACGTTAACAGTTGTTTTCATATTGCTATAGGTTGCCACATGGACAATATGGGAGGTCCCGGCCTCGGCGGGCCTATGGAAGGAATGATGGGCGGCGGTGACTTCCCTCCCGATATGAACTTAAGTCCAAAAATGGGCGGAGGCCCCATGGGCGGTCCTATGGGCCCAATGGGTCCCGATGCATCCATGCTCGGGCCGAGAATGGGAGGCGCGGGTAAAATGCCACCATTCAATGGAGCGAACGTCCAAGTGAAAGCGAGTGCGCCCAACACGATACAATATCTACCGACGAGGCCACAGATGCCCTGCAACACGGGCCCGCGGGGACCCCCCAGCTTAGACTTCCTGCAGCGGGTGACGAACCCTATGCAGATGGAGAACAGTAAAGGCGTGCAGTACTTCCCCGGGGCGAGGGGCATGGACATGGAGGCGGGAATGCGGGGCGTGATGCGACCGCCCGGCGGCATGCTTAGGATGCCCCACTACCCCGCCGGGTTCAACTCGCCCCCCAAGATGGCGGGCGATCCATTCGGCGGCGGACCGAATCCCATGTGCGGTCCAAACTTCCGAGGAGTTAAAGGAGGGATGCCGGGGAACGTCCGCATGGGTTCGGGGCAGCCGCTGCCGCCGTCGATGGGGGGCCCGGCGGGCGGGTTCAAGGGTCAAGGCTTCGCGGTGCCTTCGACGGCCGACCCCAACTACGCAGCACAGTTCCACAACTTCCAGCAGCAGCTGTACGCGACGGGCAGCCGCGCCGCGCAGCCGCACCAGGGCTACCCGCCCTACCAGCCGTCCAAGTGATGACTGCCGCTGGGGCGGTGCGGACACGGAGTGACGGTGCCGGCGCTGTAGCCGCGCCCTGTGATACGGACACCCCCATGACGGATCTATTAACGGCCTGCTAAGTTTTTGTATTCATTAACCTTTGTACTTAATTCTCTACGCCAGTGATGATCAAATTTTTTAGTTATGTTTTATTTTGTCCGCACATTGTGATTTCTTTTTACCCTCGAGAATTTTTGTAATTAAATGCGGCTATTGAAGAGTATGATGTATGGCAGGATGAAATGAAATTGTCGCTTGAAAGAGCATGTTGTGATCAAAATTATAAATTTATGCTTCGCTGATTTGTATGAGTGAAGAAATATGAACAAAATATATGCTACAAATGTTGATAGCACAATCGAGAGCCCTTATATGATGTTATTCTTGGATTGTTGTGATTTATAAAAGGGCTATGTAAAGAGCCATTAAGCATATAATGTGCACGTAAATGCAAGGGAATAGTCAGATCATGCAAAATGAAAGTCCATAATCTCTGCCTACCCTTTTTGGCGACAGGCACGATTCTTATTTATACATTTTTTTTAAGTGTCAAGATTGGTATATACATTTTATTTGTTAGGGTTTTCACCTTAGAACATTGTACTAGTTTTCTTGACTGAGTATGATTTTTATAGAAAATATAAATACGTTTGTACAAATAATTTTTTTAGACGTGTTATTCGTGTACTCTTACATAATTTAAAGTACAGTTAGGTATTTTTGCTAATGGCAATAATAAATATAGTTTTTATCTTTTTTTTTTACACCAGGCTCGCCAGAATTTCAGTGTATTGGTTCCTTAACTTAGCTATTTTATATATAACGATTCCTATGCACACAAATATCTAGTCAATTTTGAAATTAATACCCCGACAATGCGTCGGTGTAATTTGTAAAAGTCGAGTCCGCAATTTCGTTACTTTTAATGAACACAGAAGTACATAATTATTATATAATCAATATTTTGTCCATTTTAGTCGTAGATTATTTTGTAGTGAAATTGGTTTTTTTTATTTTAATTATTTGGCTAGTGGCCAGTATAAACACCTGGAACTAATGTGCAAGATTGTAAATTATAATTTTTTTATAACTTTTATTTGATCTGATAGCAATGTTTTTCTGTCTTCCATACCTAACTTGCAACAATTAGCGAAAATGTACATTTTCATTTACGAATTTACATGAAAATAAACGCAGATCGAGTTCTATTTAGCCTTACTTTTAAAATTAAAAGTACTTAAATATCTGTTGCCATATTGTTTGCCACATGAATTTAGTTTCGTGATATTTTTTAACTGTTTCTATTTAATTTATTTGTCTATACGGAACCCGTACGAACGATGCCGATTATTTCCGAGTGCAAAGCAATTTTTTTTAGTTTTTTTTTTTAGTGGATAGGGGAATACTATTTTAAGATAGTTATGCACATTGTGGAAGTCACAGTGGCCTTCGATGTAAAAAAATGCCTTGTTTAAAAGCAATTTGAAACCCTGCAGGTGAGGACGTATCGTAACACTAACGCGCGTTAATTGTTTCTCGCTCAAAGTATAATTATGATCTATTCGAGATTAAAAAAAATGGCGCAACAAAGCGAGTAACAGCACAAGAGTCCAATAATTAACACCCGCTAGAAATTAGATAGACTTAATTTAAATGTAATTATAATATAAGGTAAAGAATGGTTCTTGTTTTAGGTTAAGCGAAGAGCAATGATATAATAAATAGTTTGTGTAATATTAATAAGAGATGAAATTAAGATGCAAACTATTGGTTGTGAATTCCGACACAATTTGTTAAGTTGTTCGTAGATTTGTCGCAGAGGATAGTTGTCGAAACTTAATTTACTTCACGATAAGGCCCTTTTTAATTTTGTTTTTTTTTAATAATTTTTTTTACTCGTCGTTCTCGTTTGTACATCGCTAACAATAATTGTACAGAGTACTTTTGGACTTAATTTAAGGCAATAAATGTATTTATTTTATAACTCGTGATGTAAGAATTTATTCTTAATTATTATAAAAAAAATATATAATATGCTTGTATACTCATGTTTCAATTACCTTTTTTCTCCTATTTATAAACTAAAATATCTAAGGCTAGATAAATCGGAGATACTCGGCGACATCAGTCTTTAACATGCGCGATACAATCTCATAGAGGTTCAGATATAGACACACTACCCGTTTGTTGTGATTGCCGCGATTTTCAAGGTAGCGTAGCAAATTATACAGTTCACATTTGGTAAAGTTGTGTCAGCCGAGTCGCTCTACCTCTACTGACCGAAAAGAAGTCTCGGGACGAAAGAATCAAACAATAGTATCCGAGATTGACGTAGCTTTGTATTAGAAGGACCTTATTGTTTCACTTTCTATACTAATATTTAATTCAAATTTTGCCAACATTTATTCTGTAAGTATGCTACATTGTTCTTAATAAATAAAATAGTAAAATAATAAAAACAGAGGTTGTGAATTTCATTACTTAATCCTCTTAAACCTTAACCGACACATTTTATAACTTTCCTTTTTTATCTGTATTTAATATTATTAGTCTGTAAAACCATAGAGCAAAAACATAATACAGATTCAAAACCTACGATCATTGACAGTCATTTATTTTTGCAAACTGTTTTGACTTAAGTTACGTAATAAGAAAATACTTTTATAATATTATTCCAGTTAACACTAAAATAATATTTAATTCTTACTAAAAAAATCAGGTAAATTGGTTTTTGGTTCACCTTGACAAAAGTATAATTTATTCACTAATTTTTCGAAATTAAAAAGTATGGTCTTGTCTATGGAATCACAGAACGGAATCTTGTAAAAGATTAGGCCATTTCATAAAACAAATGTATAGTAACTCGCAGAAAATATCTTCGGGACAGTTGTATTTATTTCAGCTTTGCATTTTGCTTTAAATTGAATTGTAAACCGCATTGTAGGTCCTTTGAAAAGGATTAATCTTCGACTCTAGCGGAAGGGTTAGCAGTCTCGATTCTGCAATAGAAAAAGATTTGCACTGAGAGAAGACGTAAGGTAAACATCGATTTATTTTGTCCTAAAATGGAATCAGGTGATGAATCTAGAAACAAATAGATTCTTTAAAGCAAATTTATGGTACCTAGATTGTTTATAATTATTTTTAGTGCATCCTTGTACGAAATGAAAGTTTGACTTTTGCCACATATTCTATTGGATGGCAGCTGGCTTCTAGTATTTTGCTAGATTTTGGTCATGTAAATTAAGTGGAATAATTTAATTTAGACGTATCAATCTTTATTTTGGTCAGGATGAATCAGATGATGGCTGTGGGGATTATTTAAATTCCCGTTAAATCTCGACGTTGGGATTGTTTTTCGACAATAAAATGTCAAATTGTGAACCTGTCAAAGCTGGGTTGAGTCATTGTTAAAGATTCATTTATCACAAAGTTATTGTTAACACACAAAACACTGTTTACTATTACATAAATTCCTACTAGGCTCCACAGATAAGTCAAATTTGTTATCAGTAAATATGTTTTTATGTGTTTTCCTACTATCAATTCTTTAATATTAATATATAATATGATTTTTCTCATAAATAAATTGCAATGAATCACTAACAAGGTACTTTCTTAATAAGCAACACATATTCAAACTATAAAATAACTTCTATCAACAGAAAAAATTACAAGCCAACTTAAGTTTACACCGTAAAACCCTTTTATCTAATGTAAAATAGTTAAGTTAATAACTTACCTTATTTTGTGTGTACCTTAATTACACAATTCTATTGTTAAAAACTTTATATTGTAGTTGGTGATTAGTTATAAACTTGCTATATAAAGTATTTAGCAAATAAAATACAGAGATAGAAAGAGGTTATGTAAAAAAGGTAATTCAAACATAGATTCTTCAGAAATTATGAAATTAAAAAATGTGTTGCTTTTATAACTTAAGTTCACTTTATTTCCAGACATGAATAATAAAACTTGAAGCACACAAAGAGATTTCTTAGTTCTCTTTGCGATGTTTAAAGTATTAAAAATGTATCAATTGTGGGATAGCTTGTATTTTAACTATGAGTTTCTCCTTATAAAACATGTATTTCTGTGAATGTTTCTTTGACAAACTCACCCAACATTTATACACATAGCCAATGTAAATTACCTAAATGTCTTATTGGAATATTAATTTTAATGCTATCAGGCACATATTTCCTTTATAAATAATTAAAAATAAAATGTAGGTATTATAATATTTTGTAAAATTGGGTTGTGAAATATTGTTTAATATGGTTTTTACAAACCCTAAAACAAAGAATTGTCTAATGTTACACCACCAATGTTATCTACCTTAGAGTTTCCAGATTTAAGATTTTTACAACTATATGACCGTTAAATATACTTGTGTTCCCCCCATTAACAAGGGATAGCAAACCTTAAATATCAACATTCCAATTTGCTATATAAATGTTTCATGAGACCATAGAATTACCAACAAATAATTTTGACTTTGTGATTAACCGAGAATTCTATTACATTGGAATCAGTCTAATTTATCCCTCATATAATAATCTATTTTAGACTTTTTATAGTGCTACATAATTAATTTTGAAACTATCACCACCTCGAAGGCCGGCAACGCATCTGCGGTTCCTCCGGTATTGCTGATGTCCATGGGCGTCGTTGAACACCTCGGTGTTCTCGCTGCTTGTTTGCCCCCTTCTGTTATAAAAAAAAAAAAAACTAGTGACCTGGTCTGAATATTGTGCCATTGGTTTGCAATCCCTGGCCTCAACTATATTGATTCCATTCAAAGGCTATGTGTATAAAGACAATCATCCCACTCATTTACTTTTTAAATGAGAAAGATGACACATTTTTAACCGACTTCAAAAGAGGTTTTCTATTTGTCTGTATTTTGTTTTTTTTTCACCAAAATTGTAATCAATGTACTAAATAGTTTTTTTTAAGCTATTAGCTTTGATTTAAGTGTGTTATAGATTGAATTTGCATTATCAATGCCAGTATAAACTTAGCTTAAAATCTTATCACAAATGTTTGTATAGGTAATAATATGAATGAAAATGATATCAGATAGAATTATTCACACATAACTTATCGTTTTTAAACAGGAAATAATCTAAGTATCATAATAGTATAAATATTTTAAAGTTTTTTTTTTAATTAGACAGCCAGGATTAAGTCGCTAATGCTAAATTCATAGCCTTTTTCATGTTATTATTTAAAAGTAAAAGTCTTAGCTGTCTTTATTAGTAATAATGTTTTTTTTATTTGCTTATTATTAATTCTTCCCCAAAAGCCAAATAGATAAAGATATTATAGTCTTTGGAGATATTAGATTTTACCACTAAATGAGACAATATTGAATGTAAGTAAACTAGCAGTCGCCCGCGCCTACGTCCGCGCAGAATTTAAACATAATAAGTTGCCTATGTGTTCTTCCAGAATATGTTCTGTATGTATGTCAATTTTCAACATTATTGGTTCGGCCGTTCTTGAGATACTTTCAAACATCCATCTAAACATTCACATTTTTAATATTAGTGCCTAGGTTACTGAAAATTACAGCTTTTTGTATTTACTAAACATTATTCATCTACGTGACAATATTAACATTTTGGTGGTTGATGCGTAGTATCATATGTAGATTTGGTCAGATCTTTGCGTCATGCTGCCAGATTTACAGATTTAGGGATCAATAATGAATTATTTATAACACTGTAAAGGAATAACAATGAGTTCACGTTGCTTCACATTGGGTTGGGTTATGATCAATCATTCATCTTAAAAAAATAGGTGAACCAAGACGTATTTAATATCCTAAAGTACTCGGTAAGCAAATTTTACCTGTTTGTGAAATTAAGTGATATGTGTTCTTATATCTTTGAAATATATTGATTACCAAATTCTTAATGTTTTGCTAATGGGGTATTTAAATTGTAATTAGTGAATTCGAAAAAATTACACTACCCACATTTTATATAAGATTAAAAAAAAATTGTTATTTACTTGCTATGTAACTATCTTACTTAGAATAGAATAGAATATTTATTATACTTCTTACTAATATTATAAATGCGAAAGTGTAGATGGATGGATGTTTGAAAGTATCTCCGGAACGGCTCAACGGATTTTGATTTGGCACAGATTTAGAACATAGTCTGGCAGAATATGTATGCTACTTATTTTTTTTTTATTACTCGTGGACGGAGTCACAGGCGATAGCTAGTGTTGTTTGTATGTTTTTGCTATTGTGAAGTTATGTAGCTTTTACATAGTTTTCTTTATTTCGAAGATATTTATAATGTTATTCGTATATTTTTCTGGAATATCATGACGTAATCAATGACGATAATCGTATCACTGTGGTTTTTTTAAACCTTGTTATTCTCAATAACCGTTTAAATTTACAAATCACTTTTATAGCCGATTTTACTTAAGGCGACTTGCGAAATCGTGACGTCATGGCATGGAATTACGTATTAACGATGGGGAAGCCTTTTGGTACTGGTTACCTTTAATGCATTTTAATTCTATACCTGTAATTGTTTTCAAACAATATAAAAATTGTCGCCCGTGACTTCGTCAGTGCAAATAAAAACTAAACGCTACCTTACCGTCAACATACCTATACATGTTAATAAAATTGGAAGTGTCTGTATGTCAGATCGGAATGAATCGCATTTCGTACACGTGATGCATTTGCGTTGCTGATAACGACGAAAACATTTTTTTAATATATTTTTGTTTGTGTCTCCGCAAGGCTGCAATTGTTCCTTGTAATTTCGGGATATACCGATTTTGACTGTCTATATTTTAAGCAAGCGGGCGTATTATACGATACTTTTTTTTAAATTTTGACCTCAACAAGTCGCGGGCGACCCCTAGTATTCAAATAATTAAAACTGTCAGACTTCATTGCTCATTTATAGATATCATACAGCTCATATGACATAAAAAAAAGTATTTTTTTGTATGTTTTTGTGATGGAAACTCATG